GTCCTCCATAGGGAGAACCTCCCCGGTAGCGCTGAGCTTGTTGTGGAGACTTGTCATTCTGTCACGTTTGGCGAAGGAGGCGAGCAGGGAAGCAGGAGAGCAAGCCAGGACTTCAGGTAAACTGGGTTTAATTGTCAAAAGACAGACAGGTAAAGACCTCCACGGACAATACACGACAATACAATGACAGATCTCGGGTACACTGACTTAGACACGGACTAAATACAAGAGACAGGCTAAGGGTAACGAATCACAGCTGAGAACGATCAGGGGAATCACACGAGGTAACGAGGTGGGCGTGGCACACATCGGGAGCGGACGGAGCGGGGCGTGACACTTATCTTTATTTATTTATGGTTTGGTTATGGGTAAAACAAAGACCATGCGGGTTAGGTAGTGGAAACGGTAGGCTACAATTAATTAATTCGTTATGAATTAATTATTTAACAACAACTATCCCTCCCCTCCCCAAAAACGTTCTGACACGGACGACCCTTGCTATCCATGCTTTTTTTTCAACGCCATTGTTGTCATGAATAATTCCGTGGAGCGTCGAGTGGTCACGTGACAAATTATGAGGCGCGTACAATTTAATTCTTTTTTATTGATAGGCGCGCATTTCTTTGCGCAGCTCTTCACCATTTTAGGCGCGTGATGGCGTGCACGCGCAATTGCGCACCTTAAAGGACAAGCCCTGTTACAGTATCACCCATAATCATTCTTCATCATTATTAATGATTAAGTATTAATAAAAATATGAGTACAAATAAACCTTTTAAAGGTGCTGTTTAGAACCCTCTTTTTTAAATCAAAGAACCTTTGGTATTCTTTTAATTGAACCCTCTATAATTAGGGGTGCACCGATCGATCGGCGCACCGATCGATCGGCCTCGATCACGTTAATTTGAGGGGATCGGAAATCGACCATATTCCCATGAGATCCACCGATCTTAGTTATATGCTTTTAAATCAGCCTTTTCTCCCATTCCCGAGAGAGGTGCATAAGAACATAAGAACATAAGAACTATACAAACGAGAG